GTTAACGAACCGCGCGTGTATCTTATCTGCTACCAAGCATTACGGTAACATTATTGCTTGATAATGCAATAAGCTTTTATCTTCACCTATAAATATACAATGCGAGTGGATCGAGAGACTGGTGGCTTCGCGCGGTTACGACCTGCCTCGGCCGGTATATTTCTCTTTTACGTATTTTTATTTTTAACACTAACTGTTTATCGTTCAACAAGTCAAGTTAATTGTGCATTTAACATTGGAATTATTCAAATTTATCGCAACTTTAACACATTACCTCCTTTTCTACCGAGTAAAGAACCAAGTATTCTACGCAATTCCACCAACGGGGAGAGCTTTTCTCTCCCGGCGACACTGGCAACTATCGAGAAACATCTCGGCACCGAGTAAAAGCTCTCACCTCGACGTCGTCCACGGGAGTAAATACATCGGAGCTGGATGCAACCTTAAAAACTTTTCGTAATAAATCAGCGCACAATACGACAGGCTGGAATCGGACAAATCTCGTTAGTCGAGTCGAAGAAGTTTGAGCCGAGAGAGAGAGAGAGAGAGAGAGAGAGAGAGGAGCAGAAAGGCCGGTTCACCTTGGTTGCTGGAACCCATCTGCATGTGGGGACCGCAGATGAAGAAGAGAGAGAAGAAAAGGACAAACCAAAGAGGAGGAGGAGGAGGAGGAGGAGTAAGAAGGAAGACGACGACGACGACGACGACGAAGAAGAAGAAGAAGAAGAAGAAGAAAAGGAAGTCGAAGCTAGGGGAACGACATTCCAACTGGGGTCGGGATGAGAGGAAGCGTCATCTCCTGGAAAACCGACGCTACACCTTTGTACATTTTATCGGGAATTTAATCGTTAGATAGCAGATGAAAATAATTCATTAGGAAATTGGTTTGGTTGACCGTCTGGAACGAGGTCTGGTATTTTGCAACGATCGGAATGATCGATCGTGGTAATTTATTCAGTTCTATGGGACAATTAATACCAGCCCCCATACGTTGAGGGCGCGAGGAAGGGAGAAAAATCGGAAGTGAATGGAAATAATTAGAGGCTCGACTCGCCGGAAAATTTCTCCGCGCGAATTGCAAAACGGATTGCGATCAGATAACAGGAATACGCGGGAATATTTTAATCCGCGATATAACCCTCCGTAAATCAGATTACAGGGAATACACGCACCGCGTTAAATCATAATGCACGGGGGCCACGCGCGTATTACGTCGAAACGAGTAAATTACATTATTAATTCTTCAAACGCGATGCTTCATTTAGCGGGCTGTCTCTCTGTGACGAAGAAACATTACGAATCATTAATACCGAGTCTGGTAATTGTAATTGATTGCAGACGTGTGTCGGAAATGGCTGGAAGGAATCTCGTCTCTTTCTGCGTCCGTGCTTTTTAAACGGAAGATAAATTTTCCATCGAACGTGTTACAGCAGAAATTCTTGGCAAACACGGGAGTTGTGACGCGAATGCGACGGAGAAGAGGAGGAACGAAGAAAGGAAATAGAGAAAAAAACAGGAATACTCTATACTTGAATCTACGTGACGTAGCGTGCAACTCGCATGCAGAATCGCGTGAGATAAACAAATATGCGGAACGTTGCGCAAGCCTTAATTAAAGTGATCGCCGTCTAATTAACGTAGAACATACAGTTTACTCTTATGAGAATACAATATTCATTAAGAAAACTGTAGAGCGGCCTGTTAATTCATTTCCAATTGCATCGCTTGAAAGAGACACTTGTGGTTAATAGAGAATTCCATTAGATCCGAAGAAGAAAAATTTGCAACTATCCAACCAGTTTGCTTTTTCGCTAGATGCTTATTTTTAGAAGTCCTGCGTGTATGTAAGCGAATCTTTCTATCTCCAGCGAGGATGAACGAACAAAGACGAAAATAACACGCACAATGCTCGATTGAGAAAAACCATGGTCCGTCGATTACGCGGGAATTGAACACAGATTTGATGTTTCGAGAGAGAAAGTAGCGGATTCGAATTGAAGATTCGCAACGAGAAGAACCGTGAACGAAAGGTTCGCCCGCGAAAACACTTAGGGGGTGGATGTGTGAAATAAAACAGAATTACCACTGGAAGCCGGCCAAATCGAGTATGGATTTTTAATTGTTACGGTGGAACGCGACCGCGGGCAGCGTCGTTTCAGAAAACACGGAATCGAGGGAGCGTCGATTCGACGCAGTCTCCGCGTCGGTTTAATTAAATGACGATAAATCGAAAGAGATACGGGGTCAAGTTGCATTTGGAAATGTGCGGTGACACACGATAAATAAAGTTGACCAGCAATCGATCGTAGGTGCTGCTCTGTGATTAATTACACCGGGAATGAACTATTTTGAAATTTAGCTGGATAATGGGAGGATAGAAGGAAGCGTGGTACATAGTTGGAACGTTTAGGTTTCGTTTCATCGGGAGTATATCCCGAAGCTCGAAATTTCGAGGATTCTTTAAAAAGATTTTTACCTCCCGTGTCGGATTCACATCGATAGCTGGCGAGAATATTTTTAGGAGACCGCGGTATGTGGCGTGGACGATTATACCACCGCTGTGAACAGCTATCCAAAGAAAAGATCTCCGAAGGAGAAGAAAAAACGGATTAGGGGTTGGTCGAAAAGGCGGGTTCGAGAAATCCCGCGGATTTCTTTTCTCTCTCTCCTCTCTGTCCTTCCTATGTTACCCTTCGAAGATCTTGCCTGGTCCCATGGGAAATCGGCCTAAACGGGGTTGTCCAAAACAGGTTTTCGAACATCGCCACGTTTCGAGAAGTAGCTGTTTCCTCGGATGACCGTGACAAATCGTCGTCGTCGTCGTCGTCGTCGTCTCGAGACCTAACACTCTTGCTAGACTATCCATCATCGTACCAGATATTCAAACGGAGAGTGTAGTCTATTAAAAATAGATCTCTCGTAAAAATGATTCATCTTCTATCTGGATACTTTCGTAACGCTTACGAGAAAACAGAGAGAATCGGTGGAAAGATAAGGGGAAAAAATGGAGCGAGGCATTCTGCTGCATTTATCGGTTGCAAAGAAAAGAGAGAGGGAGAGGAAAACAGCTGTCGAATAGGGAGAAATCTGACTTGGTACGGCCCTGATCCCAAGTTATCCGAGCTCCGCGAGAGAGCCGATTATATTAAATGGCTGGTAAAACGGTCTGCTTAACATAGCGTTTATCTGCTCCTCTTGGTTTTAGTACTTTTTCACTGCCTCGTCAGCCATTGCCCATAAACTCTACTACAAGCCTTGCCTCTTTTTCTCTCTTCAACCCCTCATCTCGCTCGCTCGCTCTCTTCATCCGTGCTACCCTGTACATTTTTCTCTGTACCTTCGTCTCTGACCTACGCGTACATGCGCGGCTTATCCATGTGTCTGAGTCGTGTGTATACTTAGCACGACTCATAAAGAATATAGAACCATTAAAACGACTCATCCTCTTGAGTGCGCTCATCACACTTTGACGCCTTTTTTGTTTACGCGAATCCTCTTTACGCTCTCTCGCCGCGCTCTTTCACTTTCTGTATCAGCCATCGAAAGAGCTCTTTCATGAATGTGATTAAGGGACAGGGCGGGGTAGAGGAGGGCCATTCAAGGAGCACCGGGGCTTGAAAATGTACGCCTCTGTTTCGCCAAACGTTCCTTCCTCCGGGACAATAAGTATAAAGCGAAATAATGTTCGTGACAAAAGATGCAAACGGCCGATACATAGTCGACAATTACGGCGAACCTTGAATCTTTAATTATGCAATTGCGATAGAACAGAAACACGCGTCGCGTCTAGTTTCTTTATCGACGAACGCAGCAACACGCCAACCGCGCTTTAACTAACATCATTTCCCCTCTACTTACAAAGCAAATCGATCAATTTTCATGTACACGCGTTGATAATCGATTCCGTTGGAAATTCTTCGAACGACTAGGAAAAGGCAAAAAAAAAAAAAAATGAAGTGCTCGGCAGAAGTGTACAAAGAGCATTGTGTTTCGCGACGCAAGGCCAGTTCGCTCGCCTCCTTTTCGAATTTTATCGAAGAAAACGTATACACAGCAGGAACGCCGTACGTGGAATGTCGTCGACGTCGAACCCTCGACCAGCACAATACCACTCTCCTCGCGGGAGAAAAAGAAGGAAACTAAATAGCAGCCTGCTCGGAAAGAAGAGATGGGGAAACGGAGGGCAGAGAGAGAGAGAGAAATGTGTATAGATATACACATATACTTAGGGGGGGAAGGACGTGAAAGAGGGTGGCTTAGCATGAGGGGCGTGGTGGCCCCACCACCCCCGTCAAACGACCAGGCAGAAACTACTTTTGGGGTAGCCGACCCACACACCTCCTTCTCCACCTCAACCTCCCCCCTGCGTGAGGCAGTTCGAGCCAAGCCAGCCACCCCACCAGGCACCCCAAAAATAATTGCGCGTTTCGTGGTCTCTTGATCCGCGCGTAAAAGTAATCCAAACATCGCATAAAAATTATGTTTACGAGTTTCGAATGGGCACAGGGGTCGCAAGACCCTGTGTGGTGCTGGTGTGCAGGGTAGTAGAGACACTGCATCGCGCGCCCAAAATGTATCAACAGACTACTCTTCTTCTCGTCTAGATAGGGATCTACTCTCTCTAAGAATTTCTCGGATTGTTTAGAACTGGCCCGCGTAGAAAGGACTGGGCGCGAGTTACGAGGTGATCGACCGTGCCTTTTATGAAGTGTTCCCTCTTATCTCACCCGGCGTCTATTTAATCCACGCTCATTTTTATCCGGATTTTTCGGCAGACGATGTTATTAACGTGATAGAGAATAAGATTAAAGTGGATTACTCGAAACGTAGGCGTTCGCGGGTAACGATAGCGATAACGATAAAAGTTCATTTTCCGGTGAATCTCACATATGTACATACATATACACATTCAGCTCGGTAGATACACATGTATATCGACGAAACGTAGAGATTGTAATTTTTTTTTTTTTTTTTTAAAGCTTGATGGTAATAAAACTCACCTGTTTTCTCCTTGATTTCACACAAAACCGAAAACAGGGCCGGCTTCATTCTGTGACAATTCAGAGTATGTTTTCTGAAAATGAAAAGCAAAGAGAGAAAAACGTAAATGATATGGTCGGGTAATCGAATGAAAATTTCTATCCCGCTCTATATCGGCTAGCGATAACGACATACGAATACGAAGATAATATTAACTCGCACGCGACGTACCGAAGCGTAAGAGGCAAGAACGGTTTTGGCAAAGTTGCACGATCGTGGTGGACCAATAACGCGAAGATAAACGCGGTCTTATCGCGCACTCGGACGCCTGTATACAACCTATGTTATAGCTTGTCATTACCAGTACACCTACCTATACTCGTCACTTAACAGTTTACACGGAGCTATAAAATCTTAAAAACCGTCGTAAAAATAATGTTTACTTTCGTCGAACGAAATCGTACGGTATGACGTTTCCAAGTGATCAACATAACCTGCTTTCGGACGCTGTTACCTGCGCGATTAACAAATGTTTCAACTACCGATGCGAGAATCGAGCATATTTCCTGGAGAAATTGCTTTTCACGTAGCACAGTGAGAAAGTATCGAACGAAACAAAGAGGACTGATATCGCACAAAGTAGATGAAAAATCGCGGGAAAGTTGTATAGAGTAAAGGAATTGACAAAAGTAACGATACACGTTAGAGGTATTAAAAAATGGCGGCTGATCGGATCTCAAATGGGACCAACCTCGCTTGCGCCTCGTCCAAGCTCTGATCGGTGATGTTCATTATCTGTTGAAGAATTTCACTGATGTCCTGTTTTCTTGCCTCGACAGCTTGATCTGGACCCTGTGTCGCAGATCCGTCCACGGGTCCCATGCTACCGTATCCGGCGGTATTCTGGGCCCCTTGGCCCTGGTTCCCTCCCATCAAACCAACACCTGATCCTCCGTGTTGCAGCATCCTGCCAGTTTCATCCATTAACCGTGGACTACAACACTAGGGAATATTATTTTCGTCACCTCTTTTTTTCTTCTTCTTCTTCTTCTTCTTTTTCCTTTTTCTTATTCTTTTTGCTTCCGTCGCGAGAGTGAATTTGTTCGCACAACACTCATGGACGTGTATCGTATACCAGGTGCCGCGGAAAAACACGACTGTACAAACAACCGTCCCGCTCTTTCACTTTATGACGACTCCCGTACTTCGAGGAAAATATGTTTCATGCACGTGCTCTTTCTCTCTCTCTCTCACTCGTGCGACACTTCATATGGAAGCCCGGGCAGGCATGCACTTGCAAAAATATAATCTCTCGTAAATAGCGTAGCAAATTCGTAGAGAAAACGAAGCGATCTACGAGGACAGAAGGTCCTCGCAACGCGCGGTACGATCGGCTTGGAGGTTATGCCGCCGTGGCCTTTGTCTCTTACGTATCGTTTGGCGTTTTAACTTGCTCTCGTTCCTCTTTCTCGATCTCTCTATCTTTCTCTCTCTCTCTCTGGTTCGCTCGCTCGCTCACCCGCTCACTCTTTCGTTCTCTCGCTCCCTCTCTCTCTTTCTTTTTTCTTTTCTCTTGCCGTCTCTCTCTCCCCACTCGCTCGCTCTCTCAATCGCTCTCTCACTCTCTCTCTTTCTCTCTCTCTCTTTCTCTCTCGATGCCCTTCGTTATCCTTTTTACTTCTGTTTGCTTCTCTGTCGCTCGTTTCCTTTCTCACTCTCGTATCTTTGCTTCGCTCGCTCAGGAACACTCACGTTGCGTCTAATAATCGGTTTTTAGCTGGATATACACACTACGGGGATGATGAAAATGGTGCCTTCGGCAGCTTTAAACTTGACGGATTGTCGGATTTTACGTATACACGGTTATATCGACGGTCGGCGTCGCGCCCGGCCCCGCACTCTCCTTTCACTCGTTCTTTTCCTCCGCTCAGCAAGGATACTCGTACAAGCTGAGGAAAATCGGCGTTCTTCGAGCCATCCGCGCACGGACGTCACACACCAACTCTCCGCCTTACAAGGCAACGCGCGGACCGACCGTTTCTGTCGCTCTTTTCACTCTTCTCGGCCGCGAGCGACTGCTACGCTCCTGATGCACGCGCGTGTTCGTGCATTCGTGTGCGCATTAAACCTTCGTGTATGTACGGTGTGCACCAATCGGCGGCCATAACCGCCGCCTCGACCAATCACAACGGCTGATTCATTTCCTTCTTTTTCCGTCCAAACAGTTCTCCTCGCTCGCTCTCGCGTGTTATTGTCCGCGTGCGCATCCACTTTATTTACGATGCGATTCCGCCGCTCTTCGTAATCATGTTCCCTTAACCTGTATCCATGTAGACTTTCAATTTCCGCCAAATTTCGTAAAAATACCTCGAAACTGATCCTTTCCAACACCATCCGTTACGTCGAAAATAATGCCACTTCTCGCCAAACAAATCAACGTCGTTTACTTCGTATTCCAACAAGCGCAAACTCCGCCCATTCCTTCAACTATTTTTTTTTTTTCCTCACCACTAACATTTCATCGTAAACATTTACGTTATTACTGTGCAGGCTCTTGTTTTAAAAAATCAGCAAACCCAAACATCTAACCGTACTTTCGCCTTGCCAAATGCCGTATATATAAAATGAAGGAACTTCGTACTTGGGAAATGTAAATTACGGATATGGTAATGCGCAAGTCCGTCGCAAAAACATGGCTGCACGGTTAGAGCCATTGTTATAACGCGGGAAAATACGAATATTTAAATTTCACATAATAGATACTCTAACGTTAATGTCGAAATGCAACAAATTATTATCTCTAATTGTTCTTTGATAAATACCTTACAAGTGCCAACGTACAAATTTTTACTACTTTAATAACTGAAAATACACAGTTGTGTGTTCACGTGTATTCTATATCAAAAATATAACCTATGTATGCACATAGTGCTCCAATGTCAATATAGTCTCTTGCCCAAGCGTGCAGTTGCAAGTATTCCCTATTTCAAAGTTTGCAAGTAACACAGTAATGTTGTATACCGTACACCTATTTATTCGCAACTTGATATCGATACTTATAAAAAGGCAATGCATTATTGCTGGGGTCATAACAAAATTCAGTACGCAGACGTATAGTGATACAAGTAACGGTTCGCGCGAGTACTAGCCCTTGACAAGTTCCGAAACAAACATCCTGTCGAGAAAGTCTACGTGGCTTAAACTTAAACTCTCAATTGGTTACGGTTCTTGAATAAAATCTTCTGACTACGATAACAAAGCATTTCTGTTCCCGAGTTCGAACTTTCCATCGCCGTACCACGCATCTAACCCTTAGACGATTTCCAGATATAGTCTATCTTTTTGAAATATACATTATTGACAAGTCAAATTGTGCTCCAGCTGTTCGCGTCGATCTCTCTAGATTAAGACGACCCTAAAGCTATATTCACGAGCATGCACGACGAGTGATTAAAGCTACGTTCACTTCACAGGTTCATTTTGCGCGCTAGCGTAACATATCGGGAGACAGAAAGAAAAGGAAATATTTTATTTAAACATGGATTATAAACTGTATTGTTATAAAAAAGACAACGGCTCTTATTTATTACACTTTTATAATGATAAAGGACTACACTTAAGCAAGGTTAAAGAAATGTTTTCTGCGTTCGGTACAGTTTTATCTGTGTACAATCGTGGAGAAGTCAATGGGTTATGTTTTGTAATATGTGCAACCTTTGAAGATGCTAAACGTTGTCTGGATGGCATTCAACATGAAGGCAACATTAAGATCTTACGACATAAAAAGAAATCAAAAGAATGTAAATATAAGGATATAAATAAAAAAGAAAATCCTAAACAATTAGCTACATGCAGCTCAAAGGATGGAAGCTTGGATTCTGTCAGACTTTTTGCTAGAAGTGGACAAAAATTTGGATCAAACAGTTCAATTTCTTCGATACACAGTGATAAAACTCGAACAAGATGTAAAAACATATTTGATAAAACGGACATTCCAGCTCTGATGCCTGTTAACAATACTCCTAGAATAAACAGTTATCAATCACCTTCGTCTTCTGTAAAGGTTATTCCAGCAGAAGAAATAATTGTAGCTAATATTCATCCAAGTTTAAGTGTACATTATATATTACATCTTTTTGAAAAATATAATCCTATATCCGTATCACATATGATGATGACACCAATGTCAAAAATAAGATACTGTCATGTTTACTACGAAACATTTCAGAAAGCTTTCGCAACTATGCAAGAATTTGATACGTATTGCCTATGTGGAGAAAATCTCATTGTTTTAACTAAAAAACGCTTGATTGAAGAAGCTGTTCAATTATGACTATGTGAATATCAATTGTGAATATATGAAATGGATATTAATACTTTTTCTATTCCTATTTTTAACGATATTTACTAATGTATCTAGAAAGTAATATTTTTTACACGATGCATTTATGTGAAATTTGTTACGATTTTACATTATAAATTGATACAAATAAGTATTCCCGAGTCCGTAAATCTATACAACAATTGTACTATTGGTTTCAAAATTTGTATACAAAAAATTGTAAATTTCGCTATATTTTATTATATGTTTTGTAATAAAAACCTTTCAATATATTAATTCAGAAAAACAAATAATATTTAAAACAAAATGTACGGTGTATGAAAAGTTGTTTTCTAAATTGTACATAATCCTAAAAGCCCTGCTCAGGAGTTTGCGCATTAGATTGCAATTTCTAACCTATACGCAGCGATTTTTAAAAGTTCGAAACGTGTCTACAGTTTGTTACTTTGTGACGTTAAATTTTATTTACCTCTGGTATCACGCACGTGAGTGACGACAAGTATGCAGTTAAAAATGTCAAAACCATTTGACGATGGTTTTGTTAAGCAATTGCTACTGCAAGAAGATGAATTCGTTTCAAAAATATTTTCAGAAACACCATTACCTATGTACAAATTAGGTAAAACTGTAACAATTTAACCTAACCTCAGAAATATTTATGATATTTGAAATGATATAAAGAATTAAACTTTATTAGTTTCAGATAATCAAAATAAGATAGTTACGCATAACGAAGTAAACGCTCCAAGAGGTTTCTGTTTATTATTATTTTTACATAGAAAGTAATTTGGTTTACCTTAAGATTGACATTTATCATTTTATAGATAATATTTTGTTAAATTCAACAATAGAGAAAAAAAGGGCAGAAACATTCGAAGAGTTACATGCTAAACTGGAAGGATTAAAGAATAGTAAAAGGCTAGGATATAAAGAAAAACAATTAAAGAGGAATTTGAAAAGCAAAATAAAAAAGATATCGAAACGTAAGGAAAGATCAATGCAAAAGAATCTAGTAAAAACAGAAGGCAATGCAGCTGATTTACCTAAAATTAAAAAAGAAGACATAGAAGTACCAAAAATTCCAAGACCAAAACCTGTATTTAATTCAGAAGGTAAAATGGTGTTTAGCAAATTTGACTTTTCTGAAATTGGAACAAAAAAGAAACCACCCAAAAAGGATCCTAAAAGAATGTTACTTGAAATAAAACAAAGAAAAGAGAAATTAAGGGAAATGGAAGAATCAGGTGAAAGAGAAAAGGCACAAGAGTTTAAAGAAAAAAATGCTTGGAAATCTGTATTGGCAAAAGCTGGTGGTGACAAAGTAACTGAAGAATATTTGAAAATTTTTTCTATACTGCCCGTAATTTCGTAGCAACAACACCTTCTAAGGTTCTGTGTTTACATTTTTTTTATAGGTGAAGGATGACCCGGATTTACTTAAACGAACGTTAAAAAGAAAAGAACAACAAAAGAAGAAGAGTGCCAAGAAATGGGAGACAAGATTAGGAAATGTACAGAAAGGTATTCTGGAAAGGCAAAAGAAACGACAAGATAATATTATGGCAAAGAAAAAAGAAAAAAAATTGACGAAACTAAAACGGGCAGCTAAAAAAGGACGAGTAATTCCTGGATTTTAAATACAACGCAACACAACAAAATATAGACAAATAACGTTAATTTTTTTAAATACGCTTATGTACTGTGCAGAATCTAGTTCATTTTTTATATAAAAAGAACAGTTCGTTATAGGTGCAAATAAAATAAGGATGACTCTTAAAACTGATAAGTAGGGACAAATTTATGTAAAATACATAAATACTCATCAGAACCTATTTTTATTACAATCATTGTTATATCAATCATTATCTGCCTGTATCTAGTGATATTATTCACATCTGACGTATAATTTTTAATACAAAAATTGAGAAAATCAATTTTGACATTACTGTTGTATTTATGTTTCTAAGGTTCACCAGCAGACTGTGCCAAGAACATTTATTTTTTCGTGACAACAAAATACCATATACACAATCCAATGGTTTACAATGATTTATTTACACACTGTTGTGACCTTTGATTGTACATTATGTTAACAAATTTTTATTTACACTAATGTATTTGCATTATTTCGTTAAATGTCTTTCGTCGTGTAAAAAGCGGGCTGTCTATAGAACGTTACACAGCTTGTTAGTATAAAATTTACTCACATTAGTTTTCGATACGCGTGCAAAGCGTGTCTGTAGGGTTGTGTTTCGTATTATCTCTTTCTATAATGTCTTTACATTTAGTCATATCGTATCGCGGCACATGTTACGATACAACATCATGATTTCTGAGCATCTCAGAAATATATACACATATCTTTGTTATAAATTTTTTAATAGATTATGGGTAAGTCGAGGACGAGAGCTTCTATGTAACCGCCCTCTTCAATTTCCTGCTAGGTATCTCCAAGTGCAGAAGATACAGCGTTAGCGTGTGTCAATGCTGTCCACAAAGGGCTATGATCCACGGGTAATGGTACCGCCGATTTCGATGGTCGAGGAGACCTGTGCAAAACAATAGACGATTAGCAAACGTTCGTTTCTGTTTCATCGCGAAATCTTTTACACGTTACTTAGTATCGGGTGTTGACGCGCAAATTCAAAAAAATACCACGATACCGTGTCGGCAATGTAGGAATTCTAGTACATTTTTTCTGAGAAAGCAAGTAAACCAACGGTAGGAAAATTAGCATCATCAGGAATAAAACAATCGTTCCTCTTCTCTTATCATCCGTTGAGAAAAGTAAGGGAAAAGAGTAAGATATTGACCTAGGCGGTACCAAGGCTGGATGCTAATCTGGACTACTGAGTTCCAATGCAGTACTCTGTTCCGGATCCGATCGTTCTTCGACCACCGTGTCTAATTCTAGCGATGGAAAAGCTCTAGATCCTCGATCGCTTCGTAACGATACTGTTCTCGTTGGCCGATCAATTCCAGCTGTCACATACAAGTATTGAAATCAGTATTCATAGAGCAACGATACGTGTAAAAGTTTGGTTATGTTTACAAAATTTTTCTCATTACCAAGCATTCAGAAATGTTTACTAAAGAAATCCGTAAATAGAAGCACAGGTTAATGTGCCAATAGTGAAAATTCATACCGACTAAATACATTCTACCGTAAACATTACGGGACTCGATCTGTTAATTCAACTAAGAACAATATTGTTCTTTATATCCGAAATGCGGTTAAAATGTACGCTGCATAGGCTTGCATAGCAAATACTATAAAGTCATGCGACTATACATCACGTGAAATATGTAATATATTCATGCCGTTGCATTCAGATGAAAATCTAGCCAAGCTGCGTATAATTTTCTACGTCCAAATTCGCTCAACTTGGCTTATTTTTAACTTTCAGGATTGCGTTGCAAACGTTAAGCTGCAGCGACACGATTATCGTAACGAGTTATACCACTTCGATACAGAATTATCTCTATTATTATCATTTCTTTCGAATTGTTGGCGAAACTTTGATTAAATTCTATATTAAGTATGCAGCGGCTGTAGCAGCGGCGGATGACTATGCGTTAAGTAAAAGAAACCGAACGACGGTTTCCGAAAAAAGGTCTAAAAGTCTCTAGAGACGAAAGTCAAGCAACAATCAGGCTGATGAAAAGCTTTACCTAAATCCTCTTTAGATGCTGCACTTGACGGGATAATAAAATAACGCATATATATGTTTCAGTTTCGAAGCCTTTTTCGAAGAAGTGACTTTATCGCGATGCTGCAATTTTAATCGAACGAATTAATCGTACGCATGCGTGAAAGAACGAAGGGTAAATATTTGCCCGTCGTAGCTTCGTTTCACAGACCTGGTCCCTGGTTAATCGAAATCTTGACTCTTGTGTGCTGTACACGGTAACTAAACCGATCATTTATCAAATTTCGAAGCCCGTAAATCAAGGGTTGCAGTAGTTGTGTATATGTATATGTATGTATGTATTTATATACCTTCAGAGTCAGCTGTATATCATAGGCATCAAGTTTTCTCTACATGCACAGGCGTGGTAGTTTCTAGAATCGAACCAACTATCGTCCCTGAGAATTTTCCCTACGTTAGCAACAAATTAGCCTGTACATTTTCACGATGTAATCTGTACAACAGGAGTAATTAAAAGTTGTCAGAAGCCAATAAAATCCATTACTCTGCGGTCGTTTAGTTTCTCGCTACTTTCACGAAGATCGAGCATTTTTATCGGAAAACATAATCTAAGGCCGCGTGTATGGACACGACACCTGCGTTTGAAATATTCTAAAATCGGTACACGAACGGCCCGGGATATCCAGGCCAACATTTAATCTGGTTAATGCCTCTTTCGCCCTCTTTGTATACATACACACACACACATGTACGTATACGTAGTGAATGTTTCTAGGTAGAAAAGCGACCACGGTAGCCGTGGTTGTTAAAGAGGTTCGGGGTGCTAAAACACAAATGTTTCGTGACCTCAATTCGTTTTCGTTACAGAACGTGTGTACAGGCGAAGGTTGCCTTTTAAAAGACGTACACGTTTCACTTGAAAAATCGCAGCTTCGGTAACGACGCGTTTCTCTTTGTTTTTTTTCCAACGATCGCGTAAGTTACGAATGAAACGTAAATTACGGGGACGGAGGATGGAGGTTGGTTCGATGAAGGGTGGAATTTACCCTTGAAACTTACCTAAACGATGAACAGGGCTAAAACGAACGAGACTGAGAGCCCCGTGATCCAGATCGCAATTTCTTCTTCTTGCTCGTTCTCTCGCGAGCTTTGCCCTTCTTCTTAGACAGCAGATCACCATTAGCGCCAACAATGGAAACCCGAGGATGCACGATACTATTGGAATAATGATACTCTCCGGAGTTACTAAAAATGCCAAATCATTTTCTACGTGTATGTATACATAAATACTTATGCACGGTAGTGTATATATAGGTGCGTTGTTACAAACGAAGTGTTAGCATTTTCAGAGTTTCACTCGGTTAGGCAACGTACACGGAGTAGCGTAGACACGTCGTGAGAATAAGAGGAATAATTTATCACTTTGTAAATTCTAGATACTCCGAAGTTCAACAGCTGCGGCAAATTCTGAAACGAAGCTTCGTATTTATACGATGCTCGTATAATTTCTCAACGAACACGGTAATTCACGGTGTATTACACTGTAGAGAGTGTAATAACTGCTGATTGAAATTGGCATTTTCACCGAGCGAAGTTCGCGTATGTGGTAATAAACGAGCGCTTATCGCGGTCGTAATACAGAATAAAATTGAAACGAACGTTTCGTTAGATTTCTGAAACGAGAACTTCGCTCTCGGGGGAAGAAAAATGGTAGATAGAACGGTGAGAACGATTCGATGGAATTAAAGTAATATCTTCTCGAGTTAAGCTGAGAATATTATTGCCGATAATAGTAAAATATCTCGCTTCGTTTTTTCTTCTCTTTCTTAATCTAGTGGGGTCTAGATGGTTTCTAATTACATTAACCTTTTATACTCCACGCTACTTTTGGACCCTCGAGATCAAGAAGCAACCACTTGCTTGGTTGCTCCTTTAAGTACAACGAGAATTCGCTCTCTCTCCCGAGGGGAGACTTTAACGAGATACTTAACTCTTTCACAATTCTTTTAAGTTTGCAACGGGACCAGCTTCTGCGTCTGGAAGTTCGCGGTAATTTGATTCGTTACCTTTGATCATTTTCCCGGTAATTGAATTTCCGTATTATTGAAACTTAAGTAGGAAATATTTTCCACCAGTTCGGCATAATTAAGTGTCAATTTTTTCATTCTGGAATTTTTCAAATCAAATTTAATCGTCGTGTTTTAAATTGTTCGTCCTCTCTGTTTTCTTTATTAGTTTCCATTTAAGCAAAATTATGGAATTTATATATTTACGATACGTAGAATTTGTCTACGGAAACCTGAAAATGCTAATACGAAAAGGAAAGACGAAATAAAACTACTCGTTTTAGTTGGAGATATAGATGTATTTTTAAAAAATTTTATTTGAAACGATTTAAAATATGCGATTGTCTCACCTGTCGGATAAATTACAATCGTTGGTCTCTTGGATTGTGGAATGGTTGGAATCGTTGGTCGCCCCGCTCTCACTTCGACCGACATTTTGCATTCGATCTGGAGCAAAATTGGTACACAATTACTTTACCGAACCGTTTGAATTTGCCGCGTGTACGAATAATAGTTACGACCCCCTCGACAGGCGGCGCGGCGGTAGTGACAACTAAGATGGTGAATTTAAGCGCGGCGCGAATAACGCGAAGGACAGCGATGAGATTACTTTGGCGAAACGTAGTTGTGCGGTGAAACCTTGTCGTGCTTGCCTAAAAGTCGCGAACGATAACATTCCCGGTCTCGCGAATCGACGAAGTTGTGATTCAGTGTAGCGTTCCTACGAAGGCACGTGTGCTTGTTTGCTGTTGACGCGTTCCAGGTGCCACCGAAGCGTCCACAAATGCTGCGCAAAAAAAGGTACGAAAAAAGACTTTCAAACTACACGATTCGTCGTTAAAAACATTCCTAAGAGCAAGGTGATACGTTGTGAGATTCCGAGGCACGTTCATTCACGTTCCCTGACATCGTAAATTGTATCCGTAGAGTACACGTAAACGTATACACACGGATGATGAAATTTCATCACCTCTCGCGGCAAGGGGGAACGTTGTTTACTTCCCTTTGACTTCGTTACGTTTCTTCTACCGTTCTTTCTTTTCCTCTTCTCGGAAAAGCAACAACGATACGCGTATCTGTATATGTACACACCGTGTACATCGAGACAGAATGTTTACTCTGCGTAGAGGCGTTTAGAGTTCATTTCGTTTTTGTCTCGACGCTTAATTCTCATTGACTCTGAGCCGTAAGGAGTTTAAGAAGCATTCTAGCTCTAGCCTCGGCTACTTTATCTCCTCGAAGGTGCGTATAACCTATTGGAATTTCACTGTATCACGTCGTAAGAAGTATTCGTTGTACATTCGAAGCCGAGACGAGTAAAATTTCGCGCTTCAACGTACAAGCGTAAGAATACGTTTGTCGTAAGTGAGGTTAGGTGGTTAAAAACAACATGGCGGACTGATTATCGTTAACGAACGAAGAAACCCGATACTTGACGTGCACCAACGAGTGCAACAAGTAGCAACCTTGTTTCCATTCCTAATTAACCTTCCTCGACAATAGCTCGCCCCAGAAAATCAACGAGTTTAATTCTTCACGTACGTAGAAGGTCGGAGGTGGCTGGTTAGCTCTCCAAGACACACGATCCCCGTAATTCCTGCTTCCGTTTAGCCTTCGCCTCTGCTTTTTGTCCCGGTAGCTCGCCGAATATTGCCTCTATAAATTGTCCTACATACGCGAGGCCGGGTTGAAAGAGGGCTGGGAGCCCCCTGGGAAGGGCGAGCCCGATGGAAAGACGCTGTTATCTTACCTCAAAGAGGTCTAGCTTCGAAATAGCAAACAATTTTCTCTATTCAAGACGAGCTGCCTTTCCTCCCCTCCTACCCTCCGCCATTACTTTATCTATCCATCGAAGGATACCAAAGGATGAAAATAGCCTGGCCCATTTCTCTCAGTGTCAACTCTGGACACGTGCCTTTATTTACGCCAGCTGGTCGGGTTACGGACATTTATAAAACGCGTTTAAGAAGCATCGAACGTGATACTTGTTGACCCAAGAGCAGGCTAACCGAAACATGTTGGAATCTAGCCAGAAGAGAACGTTCTTGATCGTTCCTTCCGTTGCACACTCCGAGGATTCGCGAGATTTACCTGCGTTGGATAACCAACCGCCCATTGACGTCGAGTCGCTCTAAAGATCAACCCTGTAACGTCGAAAACAAGTTAACCAAAGTCTTGTCCAACAATTCGTCACCAGAACCAACTTCACCTTCTCCCCCAAATCTCTTCCTTATAAGTATACCCGAAAAATCCCTCGGAGCATCGTTAAGAGCGGTCGATCTATACTCTGTCCAATTTAAGAATAACCTCGCTTTTTCCTCCGAAAAGAATAACGACCGATTTTCCTCCGTTCTGCGCATAGACAGGGTAAGGCGGAGAAAAACGTAGCCGGTTAAGCGAGGTCGTTCTAGCCCTGCCTTAGGCACGTCCCATGCGCGAAGCGAGGTTATTCTTAAATTGGACAGAGTGTAGTACACAGCAGCAACAACGCTAAAATATAATCGGTGTGAACTTTCCTCCCCGGATTCCAACAGCTGGTCGCGAGCTTAGAGAAATAGAAAATCGCATTCTGGGTCGTTGAATCTCGTTGCGAAAAAGCATCGAGAACTGTTTCGTAGTCTGGCCAAGTATCGAACTTGAGATTTGGAAAGTTGGAATTTCCCGACACTCTCGTTCTCGCCTCTGTTGATTCTCCCCCCACGGTAGAGGAACACGGTGTGCAAAAACTGTGCTGCGTATATCAGAAGTTGCATTTGCATTATCCTCGAATTACCTTATCGTACGTCCCGCAGCGAAACGCGTCGCCCCTTTCGACTATTTTCCCCTGGCTCGCACGGTTAATTCGGCGAGTCTGCGGCTTACAGAGGGAAAACGAGAGTTCACGTTGCACCGGTTGTATTCAGCGTTATCTGCATTATTGGCGGTACATGGGTACGTATCGTATGCTGTTGCCGGGTTACCACCATCTCTGCGTACGTGTTGCTCGTCTCTCCCCCTTTTTTTACCTTTCGTCCTCCTCCCTGATCAATCTAAGTAGACATTGTGTTAATTGGGCAACACGCTTAGGATAAACGCGGTCTGTTTGTCACCCAATCATACTTTCCGCCGACCCTTTCACTCATCCTCGAACTCTGTGGTAGCCCACCTAATCTCCACCGTTAGTCATCCTGTTTTCACTAGTTTTCCTCGCCGTTTGCTCATCCGAACAAACCAGCCTAAACCAACCCCTCCAGTTCTAGACCGTTATATAGGAAATCAATGACCACCGGTCAGCCCCTGTACAACCAGCAGCTCGTTACTCTAAAATATTCAACTCTGCATTTCACAAAACGTGTCTTTTGGCGTCTTAATCCCTCACCTGAACGGTGTATCACTGCGACGGTATAAAACTTACACCTGTGAGCTCCGAAGCGTGTTCGCGCTCGCCTCGACTCATCCTCGAACCCTGGCACAGACCTCCATCCTTTACGAGTTCCTTCCACCCCTCACATGATAATTAGAGAGACACTTTCACGGAAGTACAGACTTTAGTGCGTCGTCGCCAACAAATCCTTACCGAACCTCGTTCTATTCTTCCACGCGAACTTTCTCTTTTCCAACTCCTTCAGATTTTAGTTTCCGTTCTTTTGTCTCTCCCCGGGTTAAGACTTGCTTTCGTCCTCGAGTGGCCTAAGAAGCGCACATGTGGCATCCAGGTTCGCACGAGGACGAACGGCCCTTCCGTTTCCACCACTTTCTCCACTTCTATCTTTATCTATCGCTACTCCTGTCTCCCTGTCCTAACAATATAAAAACCCAGTACGCCTACACCTCCGGACAGTTTGTTCCTTTACCGACCATCGCGACGTACCCGCCGAACCGCTGCCGCCGGGACGAGTAACAAAATAAACGATTGTATTTCCTGGGCCAATTGCACGCCCGTACGACCATAAATTTGTACTTTAATAAATTGAGGTGAAAACAGGGTAACGACGTTCCTCGGTGCATTAACACCCGAAAACTTCAAACTCCGCGAGTCACTCCTGAAACGTATACCTGTGCAATAGTAATAAAAGATTTATTTTGTGAAACCAGTGTTGAGGTTTTCAAGTCCCTGTTCGGCTGCGGCAATGCCGATCACGGTAATCCCTGTATTAGCGAGCTGATAAATCAACAAGTGGTAAGAAGACTGAAGAAAAATTGGCCTAAAATTGGTCGTATCGTTACGTCTGTTGAACAGTTAGCCGCAAGATCGCACCGATGTAATTCCGCAATCCGCGAGATACTTGCGTAAAAGTCGAAACGTTCGCTGGATTGTTTGTTGAAAGATGGGAAGGACATTTGAGAATCCTCCGTGATCCTCTGGAAGTACGAGTTCGGACGTAGAGTTACGCTTGTCGCGAGTGTTACCGAGAAGGATCGACGCAATTTTCCAACGAGGTCTTTACCTGTACCGCCGCTTTCAGCATTTTACAGCCCTCCGATAGTTTTACAGAGGTTGTTGCCGTTGTGGAAGTTTGTTGATTAAACTAGCCCGATAAAGGTCTCCGCTGGAACAACATGCCGGCGAAAATTTAGTTAACTCACAAGGGGGACCGCAGGCAAGTGTTCCGCGCCGCTTTTGATCGAACTTTGTTGCCGGAAAGCGGCAGGGAAAAATATTCGACACGTGTCCGGTTATTTTTTCAGCGTAAACAGCAATTTTTCAAATGCACGTCAAATAATGCCACTTTTCACCGCGTTTACCAGAGATCGCTGTCGAAAATTCGAAACGTTCCAGACGTTACAGCCTGCGTACACTTAGCATTTCTACACTGTATGTATCCGGTGAAACTTTTACTTGAGCTTCTCGTTTCCCTTTAAACCTTCCCTTTTTCGTCGAACGAAACTCGGGAATGAAATGGGTAATATATTCCCGGTTAGAAGGGAAACTAGGACAATTAATGATAAATTCGAACTTTCGGCTGCTGTTTGCACGCGGATGAGCGAACTCGTTGTTCGAGTACTTCTCGTCGGGGTATCGAATAACGGTGGAAATTTGGTCACCGTGGATTTTTATACACTTCCGCAGCTTCGTCGATGCGTGATTGCGAATTTATTCGCCTGGCTGCTTGGAGAAGAATGAAATTTAGGTCGGTGAAAACCCGTAAAAATTTCGTTGGAATGAATCAACACCCGCTGGCTGTTGATCGAGTGATTGCAACGAGGATACTAATCGGAGTAGCTGGAGCATTACCGAGGATAGCTTTTAAAACGACCTTAATCGCTGTCGGACACAAGGAACTTTTCAACCTCGGCCAAAGTTCCACAAGTAGACGAAGGTTAACGAACCCTTTTTACGTGGTTACAGGCTCTTTCTCCGAGAATCGTCTAAATAATGAAAGGAGTTTACGGAACGTGAGGTAAAACCAGGCTCTCGCGAGCGAAGTCTGGAACGCGATCGATATTCACAGTCGTGTATCACGTTG